ATGCATAAAATACGTAAAAACAGCATTTTCCAAGATGGCTGACGACTACATAAACCGCGCCTACAATTGCGCCAATGTAAATCGCCAAAAATCCGTGCAACCGTCTACCAAAGTAGTACCTTTATTACTGCAGACACACTGATCAACTAAACTCTAACTATCTGAACATTCTAATTTGAAAATCAAATAGCGAAACCAGAATGACTTAGAAAGAAGCTTCTGCTCTCGTTTTACCTCCTTCTTTACAGAAAATATCAGATTTTTTACACTTTGACACATATGGGACAAACATACCTCTTCTAATAAAATACTTGCCTGTTGCTTAGTTACACACACAATGTTGCAATGTGGTATGCAGTAGGAAAAACAAATGCTCAGTAACTGAAGATGTTTATTTATGTATATGGTACAGAATATGATATGGCATGCATATGTGTGTAATAAAAATAAATTTGTAAATATGAGATGTAGAAACGCAGGAATTCTGATGATGAAGCATGCAGATGGTATATTGAAGAGGAAGAATTCTGACTCTGTAGAATGCTAATCCATAATGAATAGGAACCTTGGCAGTCGAGGTAGATTAAATTCCATTTTTATTTAAATTGACATTTGTGGCCACAATTCACTTGGCACTCCAATCGTGCCAATTTAAGAACATTTACATTTTTTAATACTATTGTGATAGGAAAAGAGCACTGCAAAATGAATTGGCATTCAAGAAGCAACAGGGATACAAACAAAGGGTGCATTTATACAATATGGCAACTCACCAAAGAGGAAGGTTTTGGTTTACGATAGAAAGGTTTCATTTTTCAGAGTTGAGGTTCCAAAATAGCGACTTCATTAGCATTATGCATGAATGTGGCATAGATTAATCTAGAAACGGCACAGTCCAGAAATGCTATTATTATTTTTAGAATAACAAGGAAATACTCAAATTAAGAAAAAGAGGAATTAACCTTTTGAGGCCGGGGCTTTGGTAGCAGTAAAAGCTACCAAAGGACGGGGAATCTTGAACCGAATGCTTTCCTCCCTTTAAGAAATTACCTCCTATTTGCAACAAAGATTCTTGTGTGTAGTCTAATGGATTCTCAGAGGGATGCATCTATGTCACAAAAGGAAGATCTTTGAAAAAGATAAGTGGTTAAAACCCTAGGGACGTCAGATTTCACATTTCACCCCACTTTTCAGCCTGGAAAATGGGAGAAAAAGACATGGCCACTAAAATGGACAACTCAGCCTGGAAAATGGGGGAAAAAGACATGGCCACTAAAGTGGACAACCCCGTCTTTTCAAAGAGAGGACTCTATGGCCACTATAATGGCCATCCCGTCTTCAAAAGGTTAAAAGGTTATTACTAAATTAAATTATACAGCTGATATACATATTTTTTATCTTATATATATTTGTGTGTGTAAGATAAAAATACATAACGATGAATTACACTTTAAATTAACCACAGCCCCTTAATTCCCCTTTCTAATATGAGTACCCCCCTTCTATTCTAAAAATAGTAATACCTTTTTCAAAAACTGCGTCATATCTGAAAACTAATTTCGAATCACGTCATTTTAGCCTTCTGCATTGCACATAGTTCTTAGCCAATAGGATTAACAAAACATTTTACTATAAATACCACTGCAATCCAGCTTAGCACTCCCTTTTGCTACCTACGCTTGCCAGCTAAAGGATGTCTCTTGCTTGAGTGTATCTATTAATTATTTATAATGTAATGTGTCCAAATAAAATGTTTGCTGGATGCAGACTGCCCCTATTATGCTGTCCACAGAGTAATCAACAATTAATAAAGATTTCTTTCGATTATGAAGTAATTTTGTGATTATTCAAAAGTTTCCATCTTCTACTACTACTTAATCAATATTTTGTGTGATCTTCTAACCTCAATCCACTCATGACTGCAAAATAATAATGTCTTCCCTAGTCAAGCATTCATCTAATATCAAATTTCTGCAATGAACTAAATTATCATTTCATATATATATAAGACTATTAAAAGAATAAATGAATTCTATTAGCTCATTATTCCCATACATTATTAGAAAGAATTATTTTAGCTCATTTTCATATGTGTGCTCCGCAAATAAACGTCACCTGGGCTGATCTTTGGAATATGGTAACAGGTAGTTTGGCGACATTTTGGAGGTGATAAACGTTACTACCTAGGACTTTGGGAATAATGTGAGAAGTACTGAGTTCCGTTTACGCATTATTTTGTGTGAGGGAAATGAGAGATCATGAGATATGTCATGTGACATTAATGGACGAATCACTGTTCTTTAATCAGAAAAGGGTGTAAATTTTTAAAAATATCTGCTGTGCAGCATTAGTTTTCATTCTATGTTCTGTGAAACAGTGTTTGTTTAATATTTGGATCCCATGGCCCTATATAAAGTAAATCCCGAATTTTATTCCGTTTATGTGCAATTGAAAAGAATTGCTTAATTGCGGATAAGTATGAATGTCCAACATGTGGGTATGAAATGAGATTGTGTGAAAGGAAGGATATTACAGATAGTTTGAATGGCATTAGATCAGTTTGAATGGCGGTGCAAGAAATCTGGTGAAAATGGACATTTTGTGATCCGCCATGCACTCAAGATTCTGTAGAAGATTAGGTAAGTTAGTATTTTTAATTATTTGAGGATATTATTTTTATGCATTGTTCTAAATGTAAGTAGTAAAATTAATATGGTATTATTGGAAAATTGTTATTAGCAATGATTTAGTTTAAAGTAATTAGGATTGTAAGCTAATTTTTATTAATTTAATATATGTGCTTATTTATATTTTAAGTAGTGTTTTTTCATTTATTATATTTTAATTTAATGATCGTGATTTTGAGAGTTATGTGTTTGTAGTATTTTGGAATACATTTGAGTAGAAGTAAATGTGAATGGAAAGAATTTAAGTATTGACACTAAGTATTTTGGAACCATTTTAATGTTTGCATTAAAATTGGTAGGTGAGGTTTATAATAGATAATTTAGAGGGAAAAGTTTTTGGATATTTTTATTTATTTTATACGTGCAAATGTTCATCCTTGGAAAGGGTATATACTTTTTTCACGATCAGGTAATTTCATATATGTTCTTTTTACCGAATTTAAAGATTCACAAAATTTCATGCATTTTCGTGAAATTTTTTCTAATTTATGAGAAAAAAGCAGTGTACATGGAATATAGTGAAGAGTGTGCGCAATGCCATTTTTGTGCAATTCTGGGATGTTTTTTTTAAGTAAAATAAGTCGACGTGTACATAATTTAATTATATTTTAATTAAATGATAGTTATTTTGTGAATTATATGTTTGTAGCAATTTGGTATACGTTTGAGTGGAAGTAAACGTGCATGGAAATAATTTAAATATTTGACACTAAGTATTTGTAACCATTTTTAATGTTTTGTTATGCATTCGTTGGTGACGTTTATAATAGATAATTTAGAGGTAAAAGTTTTTGGATATTTTATTTATATTATACGTGGAAATGTTCGTCCTTGGATAGGGCATATAATTTTTTGCGATCACGTAATTTCATACATGTGCTTTTTACCGAGTTTAAAGATTCACAAAATTTTCCTGCATTTTCGTGCAAATTTTTGTAATTTATGAGAAAATAGCAGTTTAGATGGATAAAGTCAAGAGTGTGCACAATGCCATTTTTGTGCAATTCCGGGATGTTTTTTTAAGTAAAAATAAGTCGACGTGTACATGGTTAATGTGTATGTGCGATTTTGAAAAACGCGGCAAGGAGCTTGCGATTCTGCACTTTTTCCCAATTTTGCAGTTAATATTTGTCATGATTAAGCAGTTTTGTTCCATAAAATTTCTAGCATAAGTGTAATTCGGCTAGTAGATTGTTGGAAAAAGGGTTGAGTAAATAAAATGAAAAGAAACATGTCTTTATTTCATGAAGACAAAATGGCGGCGAAATAAAAAACAGAGGGTTGCTGTAGCAGAGTTGGTCGCCAAATTTTCGCCAAGTTACCATAATCCAAAGATCAACCGTCACCTGATTTGTATTTCTCTTATGTCAACCAAAGACAACTAACTTTATGTGGCACAAATAGAAGTGTCTAATTTACCAAAGCAGTTTTATGAAGAATTCTATGACAGCTGTAGTTTTCTGTACCTGGGAAACTGACACAAAGCCCTGATTTCATATTTTAAGCACTAGAAGAAATCAACAATGAGCATAACAGATGAATAGTAGATGATAATGAAGTAGATTGAAGAAACCTAAATTATCATGAGGATCAAAATTTAAGAGTCCATTAATTTGACTATTAAGAATTATTATAAAAACAATTTAGACTAATGCAATATTGAAGTTTTTAAATCATTAAAAACATCTATAAAGTAGCTAATGAGCAGAAAGATTTTATTCTTTCAATATATTAGTTGTCATATACAATATAAATATCAAACTGAGTAATGGAAATTAAAACTACACCCTAAAAACTGTGACAGTTTATGCAAGTTACTATATATTGATGTGGTTCGAATTTATATTATTTTATCCAACTTCAAATATTCAAAAGTATGTTTAAAAAATAAAACAGTATACTATAAAAGAATTCCCACTGCGGCCAAATGCAATAACATTTCTGAAATAAAAAGCAATTTCCTACACTGCATTACGCAACTATCTTGGAAATAATCATTATTATTTAATTTTATGTAGTACGAAAAACACTTTATTATTTAATTTCTTTTTATGCAGCACCAAGTAAAAACGTTAAAATACTCATAATTTAAAAGCAATGCTTAATACATTACTTATTACTCTAGGCCTCCCTACATACTATCAAACAAATCAGATGATATTCAACTGAATCTAAGAAATTTTGCGCAATCGGTATAGCAAAATAAAAAAGGATTAGCCCAATATAAAAGCGCAGAAGGAAAAAAAAATAAAGTTTTAACAACACAAAACATAGATCTATGACACTCGACCAATATTTAACAAACTAACTAACCTTAAATTGTCCATCATCGGCAAGAAGATCATCATCCATTATTCTAAAAAATTATTGTAATACCTGATACAAAGAATTTCATTACGTTTCGATTGTTACACTGTACTTAATTATCTCACACCCTACTGAAATCCGATTCACAAACAAGGTACTCACATATCTTCACTTCGCATCATGATCATAGAACATCAATATTTTGCCTTTACATTAATAATTTTTTATCCTCTTTTTTTCCTTGCTGTGGTGATGTTTAGTAATTTAATATTGGAACATACATAAAATTTTGACAGTGGACTTAAATTAAATTAGTTTTTTAAGTTTTCGTGTTTTCAACAAGAAATCAGTTTATGAAATATATGTTCAAAATTTCAATTTATTTTAAATTAAAATTTTTAAAACAAATAATTAATTATTTTAATTAAAGATTTAAAATACTCCTTGTGCGCTAATTTTTCAATATTTTTCCCTAGTTTTTCCTTTTAGTTATAAAGACATGACAAAGGTTTTTGTGTATCCGTTATTGAATATGATGGATCAGAAATTTTTAAAAGGATTTTTGCGAACATAATTATCAAAAGTTTAAACTTCTTAATAACCTTGTTAACACCCGCGTAACGCTAGAGGGCGCTAAGATAGTTGATGGAAGATGTGACGCAGTGATGATGTGAGATATCTGAGACTGTGATATTATTTTATTTAATTAAATCAATTTATATTTCATTGATTTCCTTAATTGAAATTTTATGTAATACTATGAATCACCACAATATCGGAACTTGGATTACCACTGAATCTTCAAACCACTAATGCGCAAATCTCATGTCCAAAAATGCATACCCAGATCTACTGTAACATATAACAAGATAGTTCCTTCCAATTATCATTCAATTTTAACTAAAAATGAGACCCATGGAGCTTTTTCAAGATATAGCAACTGCGAAAAATTTTGTTTTGAGAAAAGCGAATTTAAAGATTTTCTTCAAACTTATCTTTAATACATGATCATGAGAAACAGCAAAGTAACTTTTAATATGAATATGTAGACACTAGATAACATTTTTGTATCATTTAACTATTTTTAATCTCATAATATTAAATATGAGAAAAATAAACATATCGGAAATTGGTATGTGATCCGAAGTTAGAGTTAGATACAATTTATGCATTATATCCAATGAAACTTTTGAAATTCTCTCGCATCATATGTTTAACTTCATTGGTTATATTTACATTATCTTTTAATGCTTTACACTATTTTTTACTATTTCTGTTTTTTCCCAAGCAGGCAAACTTCTCCTTTTGCTTTGGCTCAAGCGACGTTGATCACTCTTTTTTGCAAAGAGTAGGGAAAACGAGTTTGTTTCCTCCTGTTCTGTTCACATAACCAAAGTCAACCCTTCAATGCATGGTGATGCATATATGAATCATACCAATTTTTAGTGAATTTATCATTAAAAAACATTACATAGCAGACGGTTTACTGGGCTTATTTGTATCTTAATATATCCATATCAATGTTTAGCTGTTCCTTTTCAGAGTAGACGGCGATATGGCGGCATAAAACTGCACTCTTTATTTCATTAGTGCCAAGAACACTGAATTAATTTCTGTTTCTTCAATGGTCAAACTAGCTTTCTGTTATTCATAAATTCTATATTAGACGCTTAAAAATTTTATTCTTTATAGCTGAAGGTATGTAGTTCTCATTTCTATATTAAGGTTTAACCACAGAATTGTTTTAAAGGAAAATATTTTAATTTTTCTGTTTGGCTCTTATATGCATCACTATGCATTTATGATTAGGCTTCACTCTAGAGTGCAGTTTGATGCATATATGAATCAGAGTAAAATTTAGAGTGGATTTTTAATTATAAGACTTCATAACTTTTATTTCATGCTTTTTTCTATATCAGCCATACCCACTAGATATTTGCTTGCATTGCTGTTACTTAGAGTCATAAAATATCAATTTTACGTCTCTAATCATGTAGTATGTATATTGTTTGTTTGTAATGAAAATTCCTTTGACTTCTCTATTTATGTTAATTGAGTGGGTAATTATTTTCAAACCATTTTTACCATTTTTTATGTGGACTCGATGGATTTTTTCACAAGTTTGAGGTGTACTCAGGCCAAGTTGCAAGTTCCCTACAGGTGAGTAATTGAAGAAAGAGTTGTGTGCCCTCAACGTTGAACACATTGCAGGCTGTGATGGAACTGAAATACGTAATTTAATGTGAAAAGAAGATAAGAATGTGCTCCTGTTCTCTACGTTTGCTGGGAAACACCCCATTGAACAGATATCTAGATTCTATAGGAAGAAAAGAGAGAGAGAGTTACGATGGACTGCCCAAATGTTGTGAAACGATACAACAAACATATGGGGGGAGGGTCGTAGATTTGCTGGATGGTCACATTAGAAGATACAAAATAACACTGAGATAAGTGTTATATGATAATTTTTCAACCACTTGTTAGTCCTTGCGGTTATAAGTGTCTGGCTGCTGTACAAAAAGTGTCCTTGGAGCCAACCCCAAGGATTTGCTAAACCGGTCCGCCTTTTGGGTTGAGCTATCCGTTGGACTGTCCGAAATGGGTGAAAGTTCAGTTCTCTGCATCAAACATTACTCTTTCTCGCCAAGATGGAAAAGTTAGTGATTCAGCCTGGTATACAGGAGCCTTTGGAAGAAGAGCTTCTTTCTTGGTAGAAACCATAGTTCGTTGATCCCAGTATTCGCTGTTAGGAAAAGAGGGGTTTTTGCTCCTTGAAATTACGAAAACGTAAGAAGTGGAGGGATTCTTTCTTTTACTTATTCATTTATTTCTTGAATAGAAATTTCAGTATTTATGTTTAAAAATTTTATCCTTTTCACAGGTAAGATTGTTTGCTCGGTAAAATTAGTACCGTTTCTAAAGCTTATTTCTGCATCCGTGATTTGTTGCTAAGAGTTTTTTCCGTTCTACATGATTGTTGGTCTTGCGGCGAAGTGTTTAAGATGATTTTTCTTCATGATATCATGTAAATTTTCTTTCTTTACCGTCAGCTCACTATGACGTCATTCATATTGAAATGTTTTTATGCACTTTCTTTTCAGGTGTGTATATAGGGCCGATGCTATTCGCACCGACGGTGCGATTATGCGCTTAAGCTATTCGCACCAACATTAACAACACGTGCGCAATGAGTTGTCAGATCTGTCATTTCAACCCAATCGAAAAGAACGCATTCTACTTACGCGAACTCCCTAAGTGCTGTAGTGAATATTTCTTTTAAGGCGGGTTACTACCTTGGCCTAGTTTATAATTTTTTAAGCTTTGATGACTTTCAAAAGTTTGGAAAGGAAAATGGGTACCTTTTCTTATAAAAAGAAGGAACACATTTCCTTTTATTAAAGTATATATAAAAAAGGGCAGATTTTTATGTTTGCAATATTTATTGTTTTCCTGAACGGTTGGAATAGTTTAAATGACTGATTTGGGCGGGGGGACAAGATCTTGTTTATATTTTTCGTACTTCTTAGAATACATTTAGTTTCAAAGATGTGTAAGATGTGTTTTGCGATGGTGTCAAAGATGTCTATTCATTCCTCTTTCAAAATTTTCGTCTGAGAAAAGATAATAAATATTAGACATTCTGTGTAGAAAATTTAGACATGAAATAAGTTAAAAGCGATTAAATCGACTATTAAATGAAGAATTAATCATATAATACTGGTTATTAAGAATTCCGTATGCCTGTTTATTTTTTTATGGAAACACTTGGCATTTTCAGGACACAAAAAGTATTCCAAAGAACTTTGAAATATTAGCACAAATACATTAATAAATTAAATTGAAATAAATAATGGGATGCAATTTAAAAGACAGAAATAATTTAATGTAAGAGATTTAGATTTAAAAATTTGCGCACACAAATGATTTATCAGATTTTATAAGGTTTTATTCCATAAATAACTTTGATTTTGAAATATGGCATTTGAACCTATAAACATGTGTTGATACTGAAAAAGTGATGAATATATAAGAATATTATAATTTTCAGAAAGTTTTCTTATTGAATAATAAATTCTGACAGTCCTATGCTATAAGACCAGGGTCTAAGTTTGCATAAAAATTTCTCTGTTAAATAAAAGAATTTAAGTAATTTCTGTAGCCTTTTTGTAAATACAATAATTTTTTAAAAAATAATTACATGTCCTTGCTTGCAATTAGAATCATCATTAATCATTTCCTGAACATTATCATGTATATAGATTGACCTCGTGTTTGTAACTGATAATTATTACTTGCAAATTATTCTCTTGAAGGTAAACTGTTAATAACCCTTTCTATTGCTGAGTTAGGGTTAACAACCTTCGCTCTCGTTAACCGCCTGCCTTACGGAAATCGGTGTAAAATGCTGCTACCTGGGTTGATTGTGCGCATGCGTGAACGTAGGTGGTGTGAATAGCCTCTTAGCTATTCGCACCGTCGGTGCGATTAGCCACTGCGTGTATATAGAACTCATAAATTTTGCTTTGGTCACAGTTAGCAATTTTGTATACCGTACGTTAAATTAATACTTCATTTTATTTTCAACTCATAAATATTGCTTTGGCCGTATCCCGCTCATCTGCGGGGTTTGGTCGCTAATGTTATAAATATATCGCGAAAGTGCTGACTCCTGGGGCACTCCAGCAAAGATGTTTCTCGTGATAGAAACAGTATTGGCAATTTTCACTGCAAAAGTTTTATCTTGGAGATAAAAAGCAATAAGTCTTATGGCCCTATCACTTCTATGGACTCGCGCGCTTACCCGGGACAATTCCGAGAAACGAGATTCTAGTAGCACGGCTTTAAGCGGCAGGCTTCCGAGAAAGGTTTCGTCTAGCTAGGAGGAACATGTCCCGGCTACGAGCAACATTTTAAAACTTTTCCGAAAATGTTCCGGCTGGAGACGCGTTCCTCGAACGTTCAACCAATCAGACGAAAGTTCTGCTTCTGAAGGATCACAGGTAACTTTCAATATGGCGATGGCTCTCACTGTGAATTCATGGAGGGTGGAAATAGAGGCCGATTTAATTATTGCTGTTTTGTTGTAATACAACTTCCTGGGTCATTTTTTAAACGTCTATATATTCATTAAATATATAATCGTGGAAATTTCAGAGT